CTACTTGGCTTCAGTGTGCAGTTATGACCTACTTAGCAAAGGAAGACCGGAAAAAATATTACAAAATATTTAAAGAACCACAAGAAGATGAAAGTTTGGAAAATAATAAAAAAAAAAAACACTATAATGCAACGGTATAATTGACTAAGATAGTATTCTTCCTTGAACATTTATATGAAAGCACAGTATGGTGTCATAGTATTAACCTTGAGATTAATATATCCTCCACATGCCTTAGTTTAATCTAGTATGAAACTGATTACCCTTTCTAAATCAACTCACATTGTTAGCCTATACCAATGCTGGGGATAATGAATACAGTACATTTTACTTACTGCTTTGAAAATACATTTATTTTCCCTAAAGCAAACTCTTCTAAACTCTATTCCAGGGGTTCTAGAAGAACATGAAAAATTCTATTTTTACCAATTTATATACTTCATAGGCTTTTGCTAGTAATCCTACAGACAAATTTATGGGTCATACAACTGTGTATTTAATTTAAGTCTTAATTTCATGTCTTCTTCCTTGCTCTGTTTCTTCCTTGTCATCTACTTTTAATTCATTATCTTAATATATTTAATACTTGTTAAAGGCCACATTAAATCTTTTCTAAAACAAGGCACAGGTATAAATAAATACGCAAGTAGGTGAATAAATTACTAAGATCCTTCATAATATTAGATATTTCAGTCATCTCTCTTCTCAACCTCACCTTTTCCAAAAAAGAAAAGCTTTATATATTTTTAGTTTGTCATTATCCAACCCATGTATTTCTCTGAACAGTTCATTTTAGTTGCTAAAGTGAAGAATGGAGTTTTGAAGGACAATTTAGGGGTGACAAACACACAGAAATGACAGATATACGTGAGGAAAATGGATGGAGAGGTGGAGATTTTTAAGGTCACATGACAATGGACCAGGAATTCACATTGCAATGCTTCACAAATGCAAATCAATACCTTGAGTTATCTGAAATTACTTTTATTACTACCCTGGGTTCCTCTGACTCTACCACTGTTCTGAGAGTGTTAGATCTTAAGTCACATGATCATGTCTTTCTCAGCATATTCTATGGACCTGTCAGAGAATAATTATCAGAAAGTACTGCCCTCAGCATAGGGGAGCTCATCCTGTGCCTTGCATGAGAATTTAGAAAAGCAAAGAAGAGAACCAAAGGTTTTCCGGGAGAGAAAACTTCATAAATAAAGGTCTGACGCTGAGAATAACAACAATAAAAGTGAAATGTATGGAGTAACTGTGTCTTAAGAGATAAGAAAGGAGACTAACAACTGGAGTAGAGAAGGCTGTTGAGTACTCCAGGTCATAAGCCAACCAGTGTGGGCCACACAGAAGCTACAACAGATTCTTGAGCAGAAGAGTGATATAATGAAAACAGTATTTGAAACACGTGACACATGGACTAGGGTTGTTGTAATAGGTTGGAGAGAAAGGATGGTTCTAAGAGAACTGTCAGGAAAGAATCAACTGAACATGATAATACAGAAGGAATAGGCAAAGCAGAGCTCAATGGACTCTGGTTGTTGTCAAGTCAAATGGACTAGGGTTGTTGTAATAGGTTGGAGAGACAGGATGGTTCTAAGAGAATTGTCGAGAAAGAATCAACTGAACATGATAATACAATAGGAACAGGCAAAGCAGAGCTCAATGTAGAAACTATCATCAAGATTCTACCCTGGAAATCTTTAAGAATGATGACACTCCTAATACAAAAAACACTATGCATGGGGGACAAGGGAAGAGCAGAAGGAAAGATCAGTTGAGGACATTAGAGTGGATTTGCAGTAATAACAGTAGGTCATTCGAAAATATGAGCAGCTGGACATACAATGTGGGGGTAAAGGTAAGTGCTCAGAACTGGAGATGCAAAGCTAGAAATCATCTGTCTCAAGATTAGAGGGTAAGCCACATGAACAAAAGAGCAATAAAAAATGGGGTTTCTTTTTGCTTTTAAAAAACTTTTATCTTAATATAGGTAGTCCCGACTTAACGATGGTTCTACTTATGATTTTTCAGCTTTATGATGCTGTGAAAGCGATATGCATTCAGTAGAAACCACACCTCAAATTTTGAGATTTTGACCTTTTCCCAGGCTACAGTATGCTGCTGTCCGATACTCTCACGATGCCAGGTGGGGGCAGCGAGCCGCAGCTCCGGCAGCCACGCGATCCCGAGGATAAACAACCCAAACCCTTACAACCACTCTGTACCCATACAGCCATTGTTATTCACTTTCAGTACAGTAATCAAGATATTACACGAGATATGCAGCACTTAATTATAAAGTAAGTTTTGTGTTACATGATTTTGCCCAACTGTAGGCTAATGGGAGTGTTTGGAGTACGTTTAAGGTAGGTGAGGCTAATAAGCTATGTATGGTAGGTTAGGTGCTTTAAATGCATTTTCCACTTAACAATATTTCAACTTATGATGATTTTATCAGGACGTAACCCCATTGCAAGTCCAGAAAGATCCGTAAAATTAAATTGTTTTCATTATATGAAATTCAGAAAATATGGAAAGTGATACATAAAAAATTAAAATTGCTTGCAATCCTACCATACAAAGATAAAAACAATAAGCTCCCCAGCGTGTATATCCTCTCAATTTTGTTTTTCTAGACATACTTTTTTAATGCTATATGTAAAGCAGTATAGCGTAATTCAACACTTTCAATTGTGTCCCACTTTCCAAAAACCGTGCATCCCCTAGGAAACATGGGTCTCACATCCAGCAAGCTTGAGGAATCCATATACTAGATCCCTCCTTGGAGATATACACTATAGATTAGTACGTAAGTACTAATACATTAGCACATAAAAAGAGACTTTACATAATAAATAACTGACCATCCTAGATTTTTTATGCACACCTGTTAATATCACTCTGAACATCTGCTCTCCCCTTGACAGGTGAAGGTGTAGTTGTCAGGGGCGAGAACTTTGGAAGCATACAAGCCAGCTTTAGAGTCTGCCTCCCAGCATGGTCCTCTTCAGAAAGTTGCCACCTACACATCACTTTACTCTCCATGAAAGAAGCACAGGAATAGGTGCCCCACAGACTGGTGTGATATTTAAAAGAGAATGTACATGAAGCACCTAGAATGTGTGGTACACAGTTATCACTGGAAAAACTGGGCTGGTTTTGATGATGTCATAATGACTAATTGCAGCTTCCCTTTAACTATAAATCGTAATTATTTGTCATTTAAAATTTTTCTAAATCAACCCTTTTAATGACTCCACAGTAATGTATCATATGACTATCCCATAATTGATTTGACTAATGCTATACTGTGGGACATTTATTTCCATGTTTTTCTTTCACAAATAATGTTTCAATGGATAGCCTTCCATACAAAGCTTCATCAGCCACTCTGATGAATTCCTTAGGACCAATTCCTAGAAATGAAATTTCTGGATAAAGAGGAATAAATAGTTTTAAGGTTTTTGACACAGCTTCCTAAACTCTCCTCTGGAAAGCTTATACCAAACTTCGTTTCTACTATGGGCTGAGGAGTGACTCCCATGTTCTTATGTTTGTGTTAGGATAATGGTGGAGATGGATTACTACACCGAAGCAGAAAGAAAGAAAAGTCTTATTTATGTTTGCTTTAGGTATAAAAGAAAGAAGTTAAATACAAGAAGTGGTTATGTGAAAGATAAACCCATTTCCATGCTACCTTTCCAGGCCTCTAGGTGGGCTGAATGAGCCTGAAGGTGGAAACCTTACAGAGCAATGCCTGAATGGGGATAATCTTAATGGTTATAGACTAAGATGAAAGTATTAATACTAATAGATTAAAGCAACTCTGAAAACATGGAGACCAAATAGGTTGAGAAGTTTGGGATACAGATTTTTTGTTTGTTTAATTCACACTGTAAAAGATTCAGTTGTTTAATTTCTTATTTTTATAACAATGAGTATTAAAAAGTCAGCTATTTAATTCTGAATGCCATGAGACTATTTACATGCAAGCTGCTGGGTACTGAGATGACAGGGTATTGAGGGTATTCTGTTTCTAGGAATCAATCATAAGAAATTCATCAGAGATGGTGAAAATGTTTTATTTGTAAGTGAAGTAACAACAATACACTAAGGTCCTTGAAGGTAGGGTCTAGGTGTCACTGATCTCGGATTCCCCATTTCCTACATGGAGACAGCGACTTAATAGGTAAACAAGATTTACTTGTTGTGTTTATGGAGATTCTGTGTAGAGGTTTACACAACCTCTATTTATGGGTAGGACTCCTGTTTCTCAAGAGTGAGAGACAGTCACTCAATTTAGAGAGTGAAATCACTGATAGTGTACTTCCAAGATGAATCAAGAATGTATGGGAATTAACAGTATCTCCTTCAGCTATACATGATGTATTTATTCACAGATACCAAGGAAAGGTACTTTCCAATGATATATTCAGCAAAGACTCAAACTGACATTCTATATAATGCCACAAAATGTCATCAGATTATTCTGCAAGTATATTTCATGCTTTAAATGATTTTTCTTATGCTTAAATGCCGTTAATTAAATAATAAAAGTGAAAGATCCTATTCATAATTTTTTAAAGTTTCTTCTCTCTCAACTTTTACCTAAGGCTCTAGTTTGTTCCATGAATTACCCAGTTTTGCTGTCTTTTTTTTTAAATAATTAGTTGGAGAACTGTCAAATCCCCAGTCATAGATCAAGAAGGACGAAGTTTAAAATGACTAAGCAATTAGCTAAAATAGAACTAAATTCCAAAAATTCACATTTTCCATTACAACACTAAAGCTATAAGTTAGCGGAATGATTATCAAGTTTGTATACTGGAATCTTGAGCTAATAAAAAAGAGAAGTAATACTTTTTACTTACCTGCATAATGTAAAAATTATAACTTCTTTTTGTGACATGCATTTACCTCCATGGATAAAAGTTTCCATTGAACTTTAAAGGGATCAGAGAATTACACATAGTGAGGCATTTAGAGGTTCTCACCTGAGTAAAGAAGGGTAGAAATGTGATATGCAAGAAAACCAATGTAGCGGTTGCTTAAAAAATGGTTTTATGGAATCTGAAGCAGAATCATCTATGCCATGCTGAAAAGTCCTGGGGGAAATAAAAGAATTATTTCAGAATACACAGGAAACATTAACCATGAAGACCATCAAACTTTTTATTTTCACTGAGTATTTGAAGTTAATGATTTTTTTTTTTTCTTCTGAGAGAGCACATGCGATTGGGGATAGGGCAGAGAGAGAATTTTAAGCAAACTCCACGTTCAGCACGGAGCCCCAGGCTTGATCTCATGACCCTGAAATCATGACCTGACTTGAAATCAAGAGTTGGGTGCTTAACTGACAGAGCCACCCCCAGCACCCCTCGAAGTTCATGATTTTACACAAAATGGTATTGCACTAACTAGAATGGACAATGCACCAGTCCACTTGGGATCTATGTTAATAGGGAACTCAGAGGCCCCTATACTGAAACCCTTACACTTGGAAAAGTATGACAATACCATTATTAGGTAAAAACTACCATTATAAAATTTGTCAAAAATGAATGAATAAAGAATAGGACAGTGAATACCATTTATATCATCTCCTCAACCTGGGTCAAATAAATGTCAATATTTTGTCATATTTGCTTCATTACTGTAGAAATGTTTAGCATAAAGCTACCTCTCTTTATTCTTTAAAGTGATTTATAAATACTAAACAATTAATGAGAATTTATGATTAATTTTGTATGCTCCTAAGAGCCTACAGAGGGCTTATAAAGAAGAATTTAACTGTAAAATATACGACTATGATTTCAAAATTAGAACAATTTGGCCAGAATATCTGGTCTACAATTATCTTTGGAGAAGTGACTGTAACATTTTTCTAGGTTGGCCCAAATTCCACAATAAATCTTGAGGTAATAAGAAAGAATTTGCTACATAAAATCTTTAGTAGATAGTTTGGCTAATAAAATTTTTATCATAACAGGAGACTATATTTGTCTACATTGAGTTAAGAGTAACAACTGGGAACATTTTAGAAATGGAATTGTTTGAAGTGGTACTATCTCTCTCTGTATATAGTACAGGAGCAACAGCGTCTTTGAAATAATATGTAGAAGAGAATCCCATTTTGAAAACCCATTCTGATCTTTTCATTCCATATCCTGCTTCTTGTAGTATCACATTTTCCAAATGTGACCCATCCTTCCTCAGTTTGTCTTGCCGAGCAGAACACCTACTAATGAAATATACTTCAATATTTCTTAGACTTTTAATATATCTCTTCTTTGAAAGCCATTTTTTTCTTACTAAATTTCCGAAAGAACAAAATTTCTTAAATATGCCTCAAAATGAGGCTGTCATGTTTCCAATCCCTACATTCCACTGTGTGAACTAAGCAGAAGCCTGGGTCAGGATACTGCGATATGCTTTCATGCCAGCTTTCGTGCCAGCAATGGGGAATTGCTGAAGAGTTTATAGCATGGGAGTTATATCAGCTATTTTATATTTTAGAAAAATATATTGCACTTGTGCAACAGTGTGGAGAGATCTGGAGGGATCAAGGCTAGGGTAAGAGGGATAACGACATGATACTTCTGTAGAACAGACAGAAGAGGACAACATCCTAACTGAAGTAAGAAGCAAAGGAGAAATGGGTAGGAGGCAAATATATAAAACTTAAACATAAAATTAATAGAATTAACTCCCTAAAGACATGGGGTTGGAGATGGCACAAGGGAGAAGGTAGAAAGGAGAAGGGCTAAGGGTTGAGAGAAACCTGGGAGGACTCGCAGGTATTTTACTTAGGTTCAGGTGGGCTGAGGGAGCTGCAGGCATTTGAAGTACATCCAAAGAGAAACATCCAAAAGAAATTTGGATTTGCTGATATAGCCTATATAAGAGATATCTGGGTGGAAGATATTAATGTGGAAGTCATAATGGCAAAACCATGGGGATGGGTGAATTCACCCAAAGAAAGAGCGTACGAGGAAAAGATGGTTAAGAACAGAGCTCTAGAACACACCGACATTTAAAGGGTGAGGCGAGAAAGAGAAGCACTCAAATGAAACCAAGGAGGAATAATTCAAGATGTAGGCAAAGAGCCAGGACAAAGTGATATGAGGGAAACCAAGGGAGGAGAAATGGCCAATAGTGATAAAAGCTGCAGAGAGGGTAACTGCACGGAGGGACAAAAATTGGAGTTGGCGACTGGATAGGCATGGATGACCGGGCCCATGCTGTTTGTTTAGCTGATGAGGGCAGTTGCGGTTCATGGAATGAATGACGGGTGTCAAAGTGGAGACAGTGAATACAAACTGTTTTAGAAGGGAAATACAATAATAGAGAAAGAAAAAAATTTAATATTTAAAAGACTACGGCCATGAAATAGGAGGTAGATGTGACCAAGAGCACAGGAAAAAGATCTACTTTGGCTGGAAAAAGAGACACATTGACTGTCAAAGGATTTAGATGTGAGCAAGGATCAAGATAATTATTTAAAGTGGAAATGAGAGGTTAAAGTACATTCATGATGGTCTCGGTTTTCTCAGAAAGTACGGGACAAGGCCATCTGCTAACAAATAGTGGGATGGGGCAAAGTGGAAGGTTTGGCTAAAGTGGAGGAGGATGCTTTGGAGAGAAAGCCGCCCACTGGTAGGACAAAGAGCGGCATGATCAGAAGGTACAAAAGGCCAGCTAAGTGACTCTCACCAGCAGTGTTCCAAACTCTGGACAGACAGGCCAAAAGAGTGAGAGTAGGACGTGTACTAGCAAGGGACGTAGGAAGGGAGGGTGCTGGTATCATGTGAGAGGAGATGTAGCAAGGGGTCTGGCAAGAAAGGAGCTCTTAAAGGAAATCAGGCTGGCGAAAAAGGATGGGACAAGAGATGAGGGGCTTCATGAGAGACCAGTACAGACTGGCCCCGCCTAATTTGGCACATACTTCTGTGAGCCCTTTGCATAAAGTCCCATTTGTCCAGTTATCGGGGGGGGGGGCAGTTCATTTCTCCATGAATGAACACCTTAGCTAGAATGTATTCTCTGTCATGTTCAGCTGGCTCTCTAGACTGCTCTACCTCACAACCTTGTAATGTCTTCCCTGACCAGCCTGTCTAAGATATTTCTTGTCTCACCACCTCATCCCTCTTTATGCCCTTATTTTGCCTTGTTTCTTCTGAGGACTTAACCTACCTCTGATCCTTTCACATTTACTTTTTGCTGCCTGCTCCGTACCCAAGGGTAGGGTCACTGAAGACTATTCAGAGGCAGTGCGTGGGCATACACAGGAGCCCTGGAGCCAGAAAGACTAAGTTTTTAGCTTGGGTGGGCTCTTTACTGGATGTGTAATGTTGCTTGACAATTGCTTCAGCTTCAGTTTTCTCACTTGGAAAAATGAGAATAATAATAATAATCACCTCACATAGTCAGTGTGATTATTGACATCACGCATATAAAGGTCCTAGCAAAGTGCAGGCACGTAATAAGGGACCAAGATATATAAGATCTTATCAGTATGATAACAACAGTTGCAAATACTTCTTAAGAAGGCCTACAACTATCTCATAGTCTAAATGGTTGCCTAATTACAGTTTCATCCTTGAGATTAGAAAAAATAATGGAGAATCTAGTAATAATGGGATAGTTATTTGGAATGGTGCCAAAATTTCTTAAGACTACAAACTACCAGCGATACAGTATTTCCCAGAACATTTCTGCCAGTACCGAAACTCTTTTATTCCACTCATGGTTTCTCAGTCATCCTGGTAATAGTAGGGTTATTTGGCTATAAGAAATGTTATGGCAGATGTTTATGGTCTCAGAGGGGGTGGGATCTGTATAAGCATTTAATTCCACAGCAAGATCCCAAATTAGTGTCATTATTCTGGAGAGTATAACAGGGTGAAAATTGGCCCACAAGCCTCACTGGGGGAATGAAATGATGAGCTGGCTATTAGATAACCTCTAATGATGTTTTGGTATACACTTAAAAGAGAGGACGTTCTAAATAATTCATAGTGGAGAATAAAATACAATCGTGAGAGCCACAGAATTATATTTTCCACAAGACATAAAAGAATTTTGATAGGGCAAATTTAAATACTCTTTTAAAAATAAGTAATTGTCCAGAGGTTGAAGCAGAATACATTTCCTCATATTTCCAAATTAGCAGACTGTAAAGATCGTTTTGCTTAAGGGGAGGAAAGTGGGACTTGGGGAAATTCCCCACCCTTCGTCCAGCCTCAGCTGCCCCTTGCCCCTTCCTTGTCACTAGCATCATGCAGGCTCTGTGCTCATCATGGCATGCCACTTGGGCCCTCTGCCCCAGATTCAGTCTCTTGTGGTTCTCTGATGTACAAGTATGTTGCCTTCCTTCCCTTCTTCATTAACAAAACTCATTGACTTTTTGAGCTTATGTAGCCAGCTGTTGCTAGAAAGAAATAAATCCAACACACATCAAAAGTGAGAACAACTGATAAGCTAAAAAGAGCTAGCTGGGTTTTATGCTTTTCTTGTGCTGCCCTGCTTTTGGCTGCCCTCCCAGGAGAACAGTGTCTCATAATATGATGCTAATGGAACAAACCTCCAGGATGGAGTTGAAGCAGCCCAAGGATGTAAATTCCAAGCGGCAGAGGGGCCAGGCCAGATGCCTCACTCCTGTGTCTACCATGGAGCCTAAGCCGTTGGAGGTGCTCGATAAACTAGAGTACCAAGAGAAGACCACAACATCAGAAGGAGTAGAATTAGTGTGAAACTGAACTCCCGGGACAGTGCTGGAATGCTTGAGACAATGAGAACATGCAAGCCTTTCTGATCACAATTAACCATAAAGATGTACAGAGAACCAAGTTCAATCTACTTCACCATTTTAAACACAATTCTAAGTGATTGTTTTGCTTTCATAAGCCAGCATCACCCCTGGGACTATAGGTAATTGCCTAAATGTCATTAAGTAAGAGAAATTAAGGTAAGACACTAAGAAATATGGCTCCCCACCTTTCTCCTGCCCCCTGGCTTGAGAGCATGATGAAAATAACTCTTTGAGGTTAGAAAATGATGATTTGAAGATAGAAAAGGACTGGCACAATGCTTGGACTAACTGTAG